CATATGCGGCGGCTATGCATCAGTGTAAAAAGATGGGCTTTTTCGGTACTGGTTGAAAGCACGATATAGTCGCAGTGTGGTTGGAGTGGATGTGCACTATTCTTTCTGTCTATGCAGCCTGATATGAATTGTTTGCACAGATCGCAATTGAAAAGAAAAGCTGTAGTTCTCATTGGCCTTGTCCAATTTCATGTTTTTTCTTATTTTTATTTTTATTCCCTTAAGAATAAAAAATAAAAAAACTATGTCCAATTTCTCCTTAATTCTTTAATGTGAACTAACCCCATACTTTTGTGATAAAATGAACTCTTATAATTACATAATATATAATAAACACTAACTATAATTGCAGTAGCAATTGACTATTTGCAACTTCTTTATACTTTTAATATATTACTTCTATTGCATTTTTTGAAATCTATGTTCTGTTTTCCTATCATTGTCTATAAAGGCGGCTATGGAACACATAAATAACTGAGGCAGGCTCTTTACTATTGAATTAAACAACCACCTCTCTTTGTGTTAGCACTGTTGTCATTTTTGTTTATTGTACTTATAGCTATGGTCTTCTTGGCCTACACTCTTCTCTGTATGTGTGGGTGCTGTTGTTATTCTTGCTTGTTGTTTCTACCACTATGGGTTTCTTGGTCTGTATTTATTTCTCTTCACATAGGTACTGCTATTATCTTTATTAGGTATGCCTGTTATTACAGTCTACTTGGTTTGCTCTTTTTGTTATACACAGGCATTACTATTTTTTCTTTGTTTGATGCACTTGATGCTGTGGTTCTTTCAGAATGTTCCTCCTATTGCATTTGAGTACCATCACTATTTTACCTAACATTTTTATAGCACTTTTATTTTATATTTTGTATATTAATAATATGTTACTTAAAGTATTACTGAAGCATATAATTCACAAAAGACAATAAGATAAACCATATATAAATGCTATAACTATTAGCTATCTAGCTCTCATGACAGACCTAGAGATGCAGCTGTATAAGAGCAGCAATGTTTACCAATTACCAACATTGTGGATTTGTTTATATACTTTTGCTGTACTAACTGTAATTTTATTTCTGGCAACACAACTATAACCACAAACCAGTATGCCAGATATACTAGTGGCTACTTCTGCCTGCAGTAGTCCCTCTCAAGCTACAACTAATTAATATAGTTGGTTGCTATAAACAGTGCCATTATTATAGAAAACATTATATTTCTAGTGGCCATACTAGTAATACTCTAGTGGATTCTTCCACTGAGCAGCCTAAACTCCCAGATAGCTACAATTTTTTTCATTATCCATTGCTGGCCAGGTGGTGTAAAGTAGTTTCCCATGTGTACTAGTATCTATCTTAACAGCAGTACCCATTTAACTCTCTCTGCTGTCCTTCTCTATTGTAGTATACATATGCGCTAAAAGACCTTTATGTGTAGCAGCTTTAGTCTTAAGCAGCCTCACGGAACTTTCTAATTCTCCTGTACCCACAGCCATATAAACTGTTTGGTGCTAGTCTGCTGACCATAGAGCAAATATTGCTAATTCTCTAGTTTCTTCTGCTGGAACCACTACGGCCTATTCTGTGGGCATGACCCTATCTCTTTGGTAGTATAGTTATTTATTTATTGAATAAAAAAAATAGTAAACTGAAAATTATATACTTTAAGTTGTCCAGCTACGCCAGAGCTGCTCAAATATAAAAGACAAATAGTGTACAACTGCCGCTTATGGGGCAGTTCTGTGATGTTTCTGTTTAAGAAAAATAAAAAGCAGCTTTTGTCAGCGTTTTATTTTCTTAAAATTTTGGCTGGGATTTTCTTAAAAAAAAATTTCGGTTTTTTTTATCCCCAAAAATAAAAATAAAAATAAGAAATAACATGAAATTGGACAAGGCCATTATATATGTTATAATAATATAAAAAACCCTCCTACGTTGGCAGAAATGAGTGATGGATATTCGATGATAGCTATTTATGCCTATACGATTCTTTTGTTTATTCAGGTGACTAAACGCGTCCTTTGACGCCAATACAAAATGCTAGGCGCATGCGCATCTCCATATTGCCGGAATGCTGCGCTTATTATGAGCAGCCATAGGATCTGAAGCTCCATTACCCTTTAATATCATAGCCCAAAACAAGTGGCATAAGTTTGAACACGCACATGTTGCTTTGTGCTTTTAGAAAAAAAGGAGTCGAATTTGTGGTATTTTCCATTCATTTGTCCATAAACCGACGCTAGCAGTCTTTGCATATAGCAAGCAAAAAAAAATCATATTAGCATCAGACATTTTATTTTCCGCAAGCAAAAGTGACTTTCCACATTATCTACTTTCAACACAAGTAAAATAACACGTAATAGAAATGGACACTTCGATAGTCCATTACACTTACAGCTGCTGTAGGCAAACAGAAACAAAATCTACACATGTAAGAACAATAGCTTGGTAAAGAACGGATGAGAATAGAAGAAGAGAAAATATGGAGCCAATGCTCAGAATAAAAAATACGCCTAATGAAACAGTGTAGGCGAAGCACCAATGCGATATCTGATATGAATGCGTGTAAAAGGAAATGCCTGCTCAGCAGGCAATGCCCACACGGACCGATGACGGCGATGACGATGATGGCGACGACGGATGCGTGTCCTTTGCTTTTACTGAGGATCCAAATAATGATTCCTCATCCAGCGCTGCGCTGACCTGCGACATGAGCGTCTTGAGCTTTTCGGGCTACACAGGTGCTGGTTCATAATGCCAAAAAAGGCTGTCAAAACAGTCAAATAAGCGACAGTCAGTGATACCGCATAAACCCTGGGTGGTCAAGATCGGCACATGGTCATGGAGACTGCATACGCACAATGCCAGATTACATCTCCGCTGACAAATCCCGTATGTGTGTGGGATATACTCTGCTTAGCCAGTTCTTGCCAGAACCAAGCCGCTGGATGATCAGCATGCATGGCATATATGAAATATAGCATCGCCACATGCATCAGGTAATGGCACCCTTGCTTTGTCTATTAGATGACAAAAATATGGAATGCGGGGATGCTATATCCCCTACAACAGTCCCTCCATATACAAGCTAATACATACATGCTGTCTTAAACAAGTACACTTACATCTTTTGACGTAGGAATGCTTCCGCTTTGTACAGTCCCAATCCCTAAATGGCCTGTGTGCTACAACTTCAATCGCCAGCAAAAAAAAAAAAGACCATACACGCACACAAATAAAATTGTTAGGCAAATTCATGGCACGTGCACTTGTCAATCTTGTAAACAGGAACGTTTTGTGTCAGACGCAAAAGAAAGCCATGAGAAGGCTTTTGTGTCCGCATGCAGCCACACATCTCATAACAGACACATCGGTTTTAGGCTGATACTCTGTTGATAGGATCACATCTTTCACAATTTGTGTGAGACTGTTGTTCCAAACTTACCACAAAGTTACTTGGTGCACCAATCATTGCCTTTGTCACTGCTCGTTGGCTATTGCGATCGCGCCGACTGCCACTGTTGGTGTTGTAGCTATGGTGTTCGTAGTCCTCAACTTCACCAAAGCATGAAGAAAATAGGCCCATCATATTTCCGAAAACAGAAATTGCTGAAGTCTGTGTTAGAATTCAACTTTGGAACTACAGAACTCCCGTATATACTATTTTTGTTCGTTAAAAAATAATAGCTGAGGTTCTATAAATCACGCTAGTTTCCTATAAATTGTGCGTAAGAGAGAAAAAGAAAGTGTGAGGGAACTCTTAGAGTGGGTAAGACAGGACTGCAGGGAGAAGAAAACACACGCAAACAAGTCCCTCTTCTGGTTGTTGCCAGCAGTTATGAGGTTGTTGCCAGAAAAAAAAGAAAATTAAGAGGGGAGGGAAAACGTAGAAGGGAGGCGAACCGACACCACAGTGACTATCAGGTAGGGAGTAATAGAACTAAAGGCGCTAAAGAAGAAGAAGAAGAAGAAAAAAAAAAAAAACAAACCACAAAACTTGTGGAAGGAAAGGCTGAGAAATTCCACACGTTAATGCAGACAACCTTCCTCCCCTTCAATCGTCTACTACATGGAAAAGTACAGCTATCAAATTGCATCCGCTGATTGGCTGCTAGTCGAGCTCTCTATAAATGACCCGCCACCCCGCCTGCTTGCCCCACGACGACCTTTATTAGATGAGGCAAAACTTGACTGTCGTGGTCTAGGCCCGCGTATCATTTTTTCCAGACTCCTTGTTTAGGCCAAATCAATGTGTTTATTGCCATCTGTACACGCAACTAAAAAGAAAAACAATTACTGACAAAAAAAAAACCACACCTTCCATTTCCAATCAATAACAATGTGCCAATCATATTTATCCATTGTTCTTCTGGCATCCAGACCTAATTTGTACCTGGATCCTTTACCAAAAATATGCGTCCTTGCAAATTCCTGCACGCATCGCTGTCTAACTGCTCCCGATATCTTCTGGTTCCTAAGGGACACGATTACAAATTTGGCACTTCCTAAACAAAGGAAAGATCTGCTTACAGCATATTTTGTTGCTAGCCTGATGAAAACGCCTTCCTTGCGTTGAATAGAACATGTGGTATAACACAAATACAATCACTCTATATGCGCCAAGAATTGGCAACACAATATCAAATATATTACAACAACGTTCATTGATGAAAAAAAAAAAGCGCATTAACAACAAGTTGCTTGCCTAGCAAATGATTTTACATTCCTCCGAAGCAACACAACACCTGCTGCATCTAGCATTCAAGTACAGAATACTATAGTCTCCATATCCAACTTGAACCTATCATCATCTCATAAATATGACGTATTCATAATCAACATACATTATATTTATCTTGCTAGAGTATATGATACAAAGTGAATAACATTTCTATATGCTAACCTGTCCAATTCTTGTATTTTTATTTTGTGGAGTGTCTACATTGAATAATCTTGGAAATCGTGAAGTTGGCTTGTAGTTTCAACTCTAGGCCCGCCCACTTAGCTCAGGGGGAGAGCGTTTGTCTCGTAAACAAAAGGTCGTCAGTTCAAATCTGACAGTGGGCATTTTTTATTTTTATTTTTTTGCGCATTAGATTTTTAGCGACATTCAGAATCTTTAGTTGTACTTTGTTGCTGCAACCACATATCTACTTTTTTCGCTTAGAAAAATGGGCTTATTGTGCTGTCAAATAAAACAAGCAAAAAAAAACTAAATAGAAACGTTATAAAAAGACAATTGCGTGGTTGTTACTCTTGATCCAAACCCATTTGGCGGTACATATCCTCAAGCTTGTCCTGGTTGTAATCACAAATATCAGTGCGCTTCAACTTCATTGCAGGCGTAAGACGATCATTTTCAGGAGACCAGAGTTCGGCATCGATGCGGATAGCAGCCAAAGTTTCTTGCTTGGTAAGGTTGTTTTCGCGAGCAACATGCTGAAGATCTGCAAGCACAGCTTTAATAAAGTCCTGACTGGTGGCAATCTCTGAGGGATTATTGTAGTCGATGCCAGCATTGTCAGCCATCTGAGCAATCTGGTTGTCGTCAATGTTAACAATCGCACATGGTTGGGCCATGCGTGAGTCAGCAACAACGCAAATGTTGTGGATATAGAGCGAATTCTTGTAAGTCGACTCGAGTGCCTCTAGTGCAATATACTCGCCACTGACAAGCTTGACCAGGTTCTTCTTGCGGTCAATAATGGTGAGCTGACCCTGGTCAGTCCACTGACCAATATCACCAGTTTTCAGCCAGCCATCTTCTGTAACAGTCTCACGAGTCAGCTCGTCATTATCCAAGTATCCCTTGAAGATAGACGGGCCACGCACCCAGATTTCGCCTTTGCCATCTTTGGCAAAGTATTTGGCCTCTGGAACATCTACCAGCTTCATCTCGACAGAAGGACAAGGCGCGCCAACATTATTAAAAGTAGAATCATCAGGAAGCTGCACCGAAAGCAAACCTGAAGCCTCCGTCATGCCAAAACCCTGGATCATAGGACATAGTGCAGCATTCATAAGCTTCTGTACATTCCTATTGATAGGAGCGCCACCAGTAATAATAAACTTTAGACGTCCACCAGTCGCCTCGCGCGTCTTTTTGAACACAATATTGTCCATAAAATTATGCGGCAAATTGTGACTGCGTAGCACGTTCTTGAGTTCAACGGCATTGTAGAAAAGCTTGCGGACCAACCAACTGCTATTATTTACTTGTTTAAGCATACCAGCACGGATTGTATTCCAGACTTGTGGTACGCCCATCATCACCATCGGACGCAGTTCCTTGATATCTCCTTGGCACTCGCGCACACTGTCGTCTGTTAGTGTACGCGGAGTGCCGTAGCCGACACGGATGCCCGAGTATATGCAGTACACATCCACGAAGAAAGCCAGTACATGCGATAGCGGTAAATACGAAAGAATAATATCGTGGCCGTGTTCAATATACGGCGCAATAAACAGGTGAATTCCGCCGGCAACTGCCATTACGCCCTGATGACCGATTAGCACGCCCTTGGGTTTTCCAGTGCTGCCACTAGTGTACATAACTAGCGCAATATCTTGGCCCTCGGGAATCTGTCGCTCAACCGGGTTCTTCACGCCTAGCTCATGAACTTCTTCCATTGTATACACAGCATATTTAGTCTTGACCTTATCAATAGCCTCCTTGCAACCGTCAGGCATACCATAAAGATCTTGATAATAAACAACATGCTTGACGGTCTCGATCTGGTCCATGATGCGAGCCAGAATGGGCATCTGATCAGCTTTAAGAAAAGCAACTTCAACCTTGGCCTGGTTCATCGCATGTAAAAGTCCGCTCTCCCCCAGAGTATCGTAGGCAGTAACCACTTGCATTGATTGCGAAAATGCGCCAAATGCACACAGTTGCCACTCGCGTGAGGTAGGAGCGTATATAAGCACGCGATTCTTTGCTTTTACACCCATCGAACGGAAACCCGCGCCTAGGTTGGTTGTATAGTCTACTGCCTGGCTGTACGTCATCCACTTGTACTCACTAAGCTTGAAATAACTCCATTGCTTTGTCACTGTTTCCATCTTGCCGTTAACCTTGTGCTGGACCTGCTTGTCCTCGGTTACTGTGCCAAGCACATCGCGTTTACCCAAGACTGGGTTGTCAGGTCTGGTTTGCTGACCATAGAGCAGCGCAGCATATATGTTGGTTATATCAGGGTTGGCTTGGTCAATAATCTTTTCAGTAGAGGTGTGGAAACGCCTCGTAGGAGTCTCGTTGGCACCTCCACTCTGAGGAAGAGCTTTGGAGTATACCACTGCCATGTTTGCAACAGAACAACGCACAAGTGCAGGAGAGGAGTTATAAAAGAAAGAAAAAAACGCTGAAATAAGTGGTGGTAAAAAAAAAACCAAAAGAAACTTTAGGTAAGCAAAGAACAGAAAAGGCAAAGAAGTAAAGAAAGAACCAAAGTAAACCCATCTGCGGAAGTGGAATTTATTTCCGCGCACACACCAGCACTTCCGTTCGTGTACAAAAGAGAGAATGTGGTGTGGATCCCTTGCTTCCGCAATTGGGCTTATGCTCATCTGCGCATATAAATTGCGCAGCGCCGCATGGCACGTGTCCTTTACTCAGCGTGCAGGGATTGTGGCAGCCGTCTCTCTTCAGACCGCCCAAACCGTGAGAAGATCAATTTAAAGATATTTTGCCGGCTTTTGGCGCCATCCCCTGTGGTTGCCTGCGCGCTCGGTAGCGACGAGTCTACAGGCGTTAGTGACACAAAAAGAGCAAGTGGCACTAACCAGACGCCAAAGAACATAAACGCGCAGACTTGGTCAAACGGAAAACGCAGATGGCTCATGAAATAAAAGAAAAACAAAAAATGGTTGCCGACAGCCAACACACAGCTTCCCACAAAGGAAGCGCTGCCCAAGTCCACCAGCGGAAACCGCTCCAGATTTAGTGCATATACATGGTTGACTGCTGCTGACGCCACCAGTCGCCAGACACTCAGCCCGTCAAATACCGCCAGCACATGCACCACGTCCACCATCCACACCGAAACCTGGATTACCTGCCGCGTCAGTCGTGGGTATTCCTCAACCCATTCCGACACCACATACAGCCCGCACGCCAGAGAGAACACCGCAAATATCAGTCCCAGGACCCATCCCGCTGCTGAGAGAAGACTTAAAAACGTCATCTCTGCATTTGCCAAGACGATTCTACAAAAAAAAAAAACACTGCTCTGTCCAAAAGTCTAGAATGCAAATTCAACGTGGGAGTGTTGAACACCAAAGAAAGGGATGCAATAAAGTGTAGAGCTTCTCACCTTTTCTCAATCTTGATTTCCCCACAGTCCACCTTCACTCAACCACTGGCTCCTTTCTTCCATCAGGTCTTGACCACTTTCAGACCACGGGGACCTCCCAGACAAAATTGGTGGTTTGGAAATATCTGTATTTTACAGAAATATTGGCATTTATAAAAGATTATTCTGGCGTCATTTGGTATGACAGGTTTGCGCCATTCAGGTAGTGTGTTTGCGTTGTGGGCGGGGGGGGGCGTCGTTTGTGCATGGGCAGAAGTGCCTTTGGCAGTGTGACTGGCGTTGGTTTTTGTGGTGCAGGTTGATAAGCAGAAGGCAGCCAACAACCTTTTTACAGGCGACAAGGTAAGTTACATGTATTGTATTGTATTGCTATGACATTGCTAAAAACATATATGATATGTGTATTCTCAAAACTACTACTAATTTCTTGTTGATCTGTTTCTTAGTTCTTTCTTCTTGTCTGCCAACGCAAACTGTACCTACCAACTACATACGCAAATCACGCACACACTTTGTTTCTCTTGACGCAAAACACAAGAATTACCTCGATTATCACAAACGCCATTCACTTGATGCGCTAATAGTTTTTTTAAAAACAGTATGTAGCTGTTTGGTCGATAGGATGTATCTCAACATCTATCTGATATCGTAAAAACCTCGCGACCGATTAATCCGAAACTATGACATAACATCTTGTATATGAATTTGTCCAAAGTTTAAAGAAACTGTTCTATATTTTAGCTAAATGCACTTTGAAAAATAGTATATAAGACACCAACTACGAACATCTAAACTTCTACATAGCTACCATATCAACATACAAAAACATTTATTTGCTTAACACAATTAACAAGAACAAATCAAAAATGGCATTTTCCACTGTATTCAACTCTGCTATGATAACTGCAGTCGTAGGTATTATTGGAATGTCACTTTCTACGAATGCTGTTCCAGTACCTCAGCAGAACCAGTATCAACGCCGTGGATATTCTGGCATGGGCGCTTACGGTGGCATAAATCCTTATGGTGGTTTTGGATATAACACCGGATTCCCTTTTGCTACCAGCTTCACCAATGCTTTTAATGCTGATAGTAACTTTGCCACTTTCAATGATGATACAATTTACGCTAACAACAAGGATGCTACTACAGCTTGTAACAACGTTAACAAGTTTAACAGTGCCAACGTCATTGCTTAGTTTTCACTGTCGTTTTTAGATATAGACTTTCATGACAAGTACCTTAGCTCTACTACCATTTAGATAGATAAATAGACATTACATTAAGAATCCTCCAAATATGCTAGTGAAAGCAGCTAATTTAACCAATCCTTCTTGTTCAGATCTGACCACATATCCTCGAAAAATCCCTCGAATATATCTACAGAAACAATATGGTAAAATATAATAATCAGGTACTGTAATTCTTCTAACATGTTATCCTTGAATATGCATTAAAACCAATATGTACTTACCATCTTCAGGAAGTGGCATTATTTGCGCTGGATCAACGTCGATATCTAACCAAATGCAAAAGAAAAGTATAAATATACATGTGTCCATATATCAGTGCCAAAATGTTAGAAGATATGTAGATAAATGTAGAAAGACGCTGAATGAACTGGCAGCAGTAAATTACCATCTGTTGGAAGAGGTTCAAACCACGTAGTGTCGGCAGAGTACAGGAGCGCTGGGGTTGTCATCAGCGCGTAATTGTATATCCCATCCTACAAAAATCACGAGTTGCTCTGGC